GAATTAAAGATCATGGGAAACAATGCATTGGTTTTTAGTGAACGCTGAGTAACGAGGGGAGTGCTTAAGATACATGGAGGAAGATCTTCCTTCCCCAAGCACGTTCCTACAAATGCTATTTGTGGAGTGGAACAGCTGCTAACCATCCATACCTCATGGGGTAGTTGGTCAGCAACAGAAAGGGGAAGTGGGCTCTTACGTACAAAAGCATTTCCCAAAGATAAAACAACACATGCATTAAGTAACAAATGACACTTATATTAATTAACCTGTAATGGGACTGAGAAGCTGTTGTCAATGCCAGGGCATGAATAATAATAAAATAATAGCAGCTTAGATTTATACAAGAATAATAACTGACCTGATGTTGCTATAGTGCTTGAAGGTTTACACGGCACTTTCCTCACAATGACCTTGATAGGTGAGTAAAGCAAGGCTTGTGAACCTTTTTTCCCAAGGACTCAACTTGTGCTGGAGCTGAGGCTCAAACCCAGGTCTCTGGACTCCAGCCTCGGGCTCTTTCCATTCCATTCTGGCAGGAGGTCATAGGCCACGGTAGGTGCAACGACCATTAGGGTCCAGCTTGTGTCAAGGAGAAGATGAGTAGCCCAAACACGGGTAAGAAGAGGTGGAGGAGGCCTCAAGCCTGCAGTAGGGTAGATAGAGATAGCAAGGTTTCCAAAGAACCAGTAAGGATGCCACACCATGACGAGGCCAACCATGGGGCCAAGCTGAGGTCAGAGTAGGCAGGTTGTCAGGGAACCAAGTCAGCTAGACAACAGGAATACATTCTAAGGTGGCTTGATTGATCCCTGCTGTCCACATCTGGAGTCTGAATGCAGATTGAAGTATATTATTTGCTCTCTTTTTTTTTTTCTTGTGCTTTCTCCCATTGGTTCTAATTCTTCTTTACAACATGACTAATGTGAAAGTAGGTTTAATATGAACGTATGTGTAGAGCCTATATCAAACTACATGTCGTCTTGGGGTGGGAGGAGGGGAGACATGGGGAAAAAATTTGAAACTTAAAATCTTATGTAAGTAAATGTTGAAAACTAAAAATAAACACAGCCTTCTTGTCTCCAAAAGGCCCTCAAAGACACTATGTCATGCTGCCTTTTATGTGTAGTTAGAGCAGGGCAAATCATGAAAGAGTGGTTATATCCTTTCTCAAACCCAGGAGAACAAGGAATGCAGAGAGAAAAAAATTAAAATTGCTAGAGAGGTTCAAAGTGGACTCCGCAGGAGTATAGATAAATCCCTTCTTTAGAAGCATTTGCAAAATGCCTGTATGTACATGGGATAATTTGCTACCATCAGTTGGGAAGCAAAACAGATCAGCAAGGAATCCAAACTGGGAGCACCACACTTGCTTGTAAGCAGGCACCAGATGCATCATCGTGGCCACTTACTATTTGCTTGGGCTTGGGAGAGCACATCTAAGTACTTGTGTTAGAGCTGGAAGGGATCTTGGAGGTTATCTAGTCCAAACACCTCATTTTTACAAAGAGGCGAATTAAGTCCTTAAATGTTGTGAAGCAAATTGCCCAAAGCCTCATGGGTAGTAAAGAAGTGAGTCCAGTTTTGAACCTAGGCCTTTTGTTTCCAAGTCCAATGTCAGCATGATAACAGCCCCCAAACGAATGCCTGGGGTACATTTTTGGAAAGCAAAGGTGCTCATGGCTAGAGATGGTAGTTAGCAGGAGGGCCTTCTGGCCTAATGGAGGGAGCCCTGAATCTGGAGTCAGAGGATACCACTCTACAACTTACTCTAATCTGTTGGCAAGTCGCGGCCTGAGTGTTTTTTCATCTCAGGGGGCTGGACTAGATTTCTAAGGTCCTTTCCAGCTCTAAAATCTCACTTTTCTAAAAAAGTCATAGCCATTTTTTCTTCTCATTCACTCTGCAGGTGATGGAATTTAAGCATTTACTTCAGCAAACACAAGGTGCTTAGCACTGTTCTATTAAAATGTGCTGTCCAGATTTCACTTCGCAGGTGTTGAAAAGAGGTCGATACACTAAAAAGGAATCATTTCACCATATGTTTACATACAAACAAGGCTTCCGATTGGATTCATTTCCTTTCTTGGCTAGATTTTCCTCAACTAGAATAAAGCTGCCATTTTCACTTCAAAATGCAATCAGAGATTTCAGGGCACAGATGGGAATACATCAGATCATGGGGTAAGACCCTAGATTTTCACTGGTGTTAAGCCTCAGGTATAGCAGAGGTTTTAACTAATGGCACCTGAGCTAAATAAACTGCATAGTGCCACAGATGTGGGGTTATTTCAACCATCAACAGGATCCCCCCACTCCCTTCACTCTCTTTCCTCTGCCTCTCAACTGCTGCTCTACAGAAATGGGGTGTTACAGCAATGTTCGCTTTATATTTCTTTTTCTTCCTGGAAAAGAATTAGTAGAACAACTTAGAATTGCTGTTTAACATGCAAGAGATGGAGCACATGTACACAAGGTATCAATCATTCTAGGCAGATGGTAAATGTATCTCCTTTCACCACAAATTGGGCAGCAAACATTCAAATTAATCACCATGACAACATTTAAATTCACTTCTATTTTCAATTTCCCACTCCTAGCAAATGGGAGTAATGAAAATCTAGATTTCTGTCTGCAATCTAGATTTTATATCCTGTCGTTAAAGCAAACCCAAGACAACTTCAAGACACATCGGGAGGAGGGTGACTTCATACATCTAAACAAAAATTTACTATCCAGTATTTATTAATAATGGTGCTGATATTACAGCACAGTGTATTTTTTAATTCCTAGGATCATAAGATTCCAAAGCTGGGAGGATCCTCAGAGATCATCTTTCCCGACCTTCTTATTTGTAAGGACACCGAAGTCCAGAAAAGGGAAATTAATTGGACAAGGTAACAAGATGGTTCTTGGACTCCCAATCTAGAATTCCCTTATTCCATGACCTATTACAAATATCCTAATACTCCAAACCTCAATTTAAAATTCTCATTCTTGGAAAATTCTGGGGCAGGCATTATGAAGAAAGCAAAGTCTGAAGTGGGACTGATTTATGATGTTACAGTTAAATCCTTGACAGAGCTAAGGGATCCAGATCTCCTGGTTCCCAATCTACCTTACTGAATGCTAACCCTGGCCCATTTGGCTATTGTTTTAGAGCATTTTAATGACAGAAAATAATGAATACATGAACAGTAAGCTGGGCTAGAATATAATAGCTATTTACTTATGACCCTCTAATACTGTATGGCTGGGACCGTTGTATGAGGGTGGTTTAATGCTCAAGTGCTCTGATGCGGACAAGACACCAAAGGTATTCAAGCTATCAAAATAGTTCAATTTCAAATACAAAACTAGAAAGCCCTGAAAAATAACTATGAGCAGATAACTTGTTGCCGATTGCATATACAAAATGTGTGTATATATATGTATATTGTTGTTCTGTGGCATCTGACACCCCCTGACCCTGTGGACTATACTGTTCATGGGATTTTCTTGGCAAAGATACTGGAGTAGTTTGCTATTTCCTCCTCCCACAGATTAAGGCAAACAGAGGTTAAGTGACTTGCCCAGGGTCACACAGCTAGTGACTGAGGCTGAATTTGAACTCAGGTTTTCCAGACTCCAG